GACGTGGCAGGAAGGAAGAGCACGGCGGGTGTTCCAGGATCAGACGCGGAGATGGCCGAGGGTAATCAGTCGCCGCCGAAGGCGGAGGTCGACGACTCGCCCCTTCAACACGCCATGGATCGCAACAAGGAATGTGAGTACATTTACATTTTATTGCTCCCTTTTTGCCAAGACGGTGCGCCCTTGTCGTCTCGCTTTATGACCCTTAAACGAGACAACGGGCAACCGAGCTGGTTGTCGGTGTACCGTGGTACGGTGGTTGATTCTGCTTCTTGCCGCGCCAACGGTCAACAACGATTTCGCGTTTCGCGAGTGTCTCGATTTTCTGGACGTTCACGTTCGATGTCGAGTCGCTCCGTGGAATCGTCGAGAATCGAAGATCGACGATTGTTTTTGTCGAGAACGTGCAATTGCTTTCGTATCCGTTCGAGAATACGGAACCGCGAATCGTAGTCAGAAATGTTCGTGTACCGAGAATTCGACTGTCTCGACTGTCGACACTCGTCGACGTTTCGTACTTTCAAATACTTTTAAAGGCTCGCGCTTTTCAAAGATTCACGATTAATTATCGACGCGTTTCGATTATTTTTTTTTTTTTAATCGAACGCTGAACACAGTAAATAAACGACCGTCGAAGACGGATAAGAGACGTACGCCATAATCGAATAAATAAATTTCATGCAAGATTGTATTTATTAAAGCGAGCGTATCGCGAAGAAACGAAGTCAAAGCCCAGCGTTGCATCGCGAACACGTCCGCGACCCCGATAAGCATCGATCGATCTCGACGTTGGCTTCCAGCGCGCGCGGAGGAGGAAGTGTCGGTCTCGACGTCCGGAATAAACGATGAAAACGGTTAACGGTTCAACCTGCGACGACGTTCGCTTCCGATCCGTGACCCTCGGTTATTATGCGAGACGCTCTTCCTCGCTGTAACCGTGCAACTGTTGCTCGCGTGCACCACCGCGTTGCAGTTATCCTCTTCGATATGCGCCCGTAAGAGACCGGCATATTCCCGGCTGGTCTTCGGGAATTTTAACCCTTTTCGGGATAAAGCCAACGTTCTATTTCGATTCGAAATGAAGGAAAATAAAAGGCAGAAACGAGTAGCGAGAATGATCGCGAAGCAAAAGGGTTAAACGGCGCGACGGCGAGAAGAAAAAGGGTACGTATCCAACAAGCTCGTACCGATGCGAGAAAGTTATATCGACCACCGGCACGAACTGGACGTAACATCGTTCCGACATCGGTTCGAGCAACACCGTGAAACAACAATACACAGAGTTGCCGGCAATAACTCATCACGCTGGCTCTCGAGAGCGACCGGGATGCACGCAACGATCTCTCCGCCTTCGTTCGAGGTGGACGAGAGTCGCTGCTGGCCGTTCAACGAAATGTTACCTGCTCGAAAATTGATTTCACCTCCGGCAAAAGCGCCGCGCGGTTACTTTTTATCGGTTCGCATACGTTATCCCCCGCAGCACGCGAACGACCTCGGCATCGTCGTATAAATACGTCGACGAACGAAGAGGACGATCCCCGTGGTGCGTTTGTTTCGCGTTTTTTCTCTAATCTCTTTTGTTTCGACGACGAATTTCGAATCGTGAATCACGTTTGTCGCATTCCGTAAATGTTGTGGAATTAGAAAATTTTCAAACGATCGAATCGCTCGCCTTTGAAATTGGAGGGTTCGAGATGGCAGAAAGGGGTTTCTTCGAAGCACCTGTACGCGAGCGTTTTCGAGCCGAATCTCGCGTACGTTCGGAGAGTAATACCGTTCGTGGAAGAGAGAGCGTGCTCGCGAATACTCGTGCGGACAGGTAGGTGCACGGCAATGTGTGCGCCAAGTATAAATACACGAGAGACAGGAGGCGTGCCTATTTATAACGGTGATATCATCGACGATTACCTACGCTTTCGCGTGGACAATCGTAAATTCTGGTTGGCAGAAGGGTGCGGGCCGATTTGAGACTTTACCGAGTATCATTCTCGTCCCTGCGCGTGTCCCTGTTCCTCCCTGGCCTGTTTCGCTCTTTTATCCTCGTCTAAAAGTTATCTGGACTCTCTGTAAAATGCCATTATCCTGTGCGCCTGGACGGCAGACCGGCCGTGTGACTCAAAAGTTCGACGACGACTTCGGCTTCGAATCGGAAACCTCGACTCGCGAGTAATTTAAGGTCGATCGAGACTCGATAGAGGCACCGTGTGGGCACGGAATCCTTCGATAAAATTTACTCGGGCATTCACGATCCACGCCCGGATCGTCTCTACCGATTTCCGAACGAGGAAACGGAAACAAACACGGATACGGCTAATCGAATAATCGAAAGAGAATTTTCACGACATTATAAAATGACACGCGCATAATTTGTCGCGCGAGGAAAAATCAACCGATCGATTGAAAATTGATTGGCTGATCGTCGATCCGTAACGCGAACACGAACATTATACAATGTGCTGCAGCGAAACTGGATATTTATTACGACGCGCTTGAAACGCTAATTATTATGGATACGAGCTAGTTAATTATCGAATGAAAATTTTCAAGTCTTTCTTCGTTAAGAATCTGAATCGACCGATTACATTAGAAGAAATGGAATTCGTAAGGTTATTCGGCGATCCTAGCCGAATTTCCGTTCGAAATAAACGAGCCATCCGCTCGTAACGAAATTAATGCCATAATTTCCGTGGACGTTTCTGGTCGAGCACGATACGTCCCCGGCGCGGTACCTGGCGCAGGAGCACAAGATTCGACCAGACATTTTATCGCATTGACCAGACAGTGTGCCCGCGTGCACCGCAATAATTCCGACATTCCACACCGTGGAGAACACGTTCCGGCGGCGAGTCCCTTTAAAAAACAGGATTTCGTCGAGGTTTCGCGAGCTGGACCCGAAGCTCGGCTCCGGTCG